TGCACAGCCAGAACATATCAGGGTGGATCCGTTTAGGGAGAGGGCGTCTCCTCCAGACCTGATTCTCTGGCCAAGCGACTGCAAAGCATGCGGATGTTAATGCACTGCAGGGCTGAGGCTCATTCTCAAGCTATCAGTGGTGTGGCAGGCACCAGTCATTGCCTGCTAGATGCAGAGTGCTACCAGCTGTGTCCCATGGCAGCAATGGGTGTACCTTGCTGGGGGCGAGGGTGGGGGCGAGAGAATGACAAAATACCAGGCTTTACTCCTTGCCACAGAAAGAGTTCAATATGAGAAGCCATTTGCTGGAAGGCCTCGGAAGCTGCTGCCTGGGAAAATTCAGCCACAAGACAGGTTGCCTCCCCTGCTAATATGAAATGCCCTCGATGGAGTCTTTTTTTATATATATATAAATGTATTTATTGGATTTTCTATACAATAATTTTAACACCGCTTAACAATCTCCAACAACATAATATTCTCAAACAAGATATACATCTCATTAACAATCTCCAACAACATAATAGCATCAAACACTAGATATATCTCAAAACATCTGGTTTAAATTTTTTGTTAAACCGTGCTCTTACGCTTTTATCTTAGACTTTTCCCTAATATTGCTAGCCTAGCTCCCATTAGTTTCTATCTTCTTTACCTTCAGCCAGTTATATATTGCTCCCCATTTCTCCCAATATTTTTCTTCCGGTTTATATTTTAATTCCATATTTACTCTATCCATTTCTGCTACTTCCAGAATCTTGTATTTTAATTCTTTTATTGAGGGTAAAGTGTTTGATTTCCACCTCGATGGAGTCTTAAAGGGTCAGGTGGGCAAATGCGGAAAATTGCGGTGGCAGCTCTTACTTTCAAGTGGGTGTGGTATCACAACGACTATAGTGGGAACAGCCTCAGTCTCTTGAGTCCCCCATCAGCCATATACCTGGACCCTCCCCCTCTTGGATATTATCAAGAGGCAGCCATTCTGCAGAAGGAGAGGGAGAAGAATAGGGTCCCATTCAGCGAGCAGCTGCCAGAAGCAGTGTGAAGATGAAGTGTGTGTGCACATGAAAGTTTACACCCAGAATTCAACTTTGTTGGTCTTAAAAAGGTGCCAGTGGACTCAAACTTTGTTCTGTTTCTATGCTGCCACCCTATTACCTCATTAGATCTTAACGTGGTTTTATTCTCACATCTTGAGATATTTTTTTTTTACTGAAAGGGCAGGATAGAAATATAAAGAAGTAAATACTGTGTGGCTCTACTGACACAGGCCGGGCTATTCAGTGGAAGAATGTCTGGAATGCTTGGCATCTACCACCATTCCACTAAAATTAGGGCACAGTTGGGGGTCCAGCAGAAACTGACCTGGGAAAAGAGGCTGAGTAGTGGGGGTGAGCCCTGTCCTGGATGGCCCAGGCTAGCCCACCTTGTCAGATCTCAGAAGCCAAGCAGGTCCTTCAACCCTGGTAAGTCCTTGGATGGGAGACACCCCCCACCAGGAAGTCCAGGATCATTGCACAGAGGCAGGCAGTGGCAAAACCCACCTCTGAACATCTCTTGCCTTAAAAACTCTACGGCACTTCCCACCACCACTAGTGGGGGGTAAATTTTCAGGCACGTGGGGTACAAGCCGTGCTGGGTGCCATGTTTTTGGTGCCAGTGCCTAACTTCACAAGGGGTGCCAAGCTCTATGACTGACTAAGGCAGCTCTAAAGAGGGGATGCCTGAACTGGCATTTTAAGAGGCAGTGTGGAGGCCAAAGTTGACAGCTGCCTGCAACTGGACCAAAAGCCATGTCCTCAGCTCAGTGAGGCTGAAGATCCTGCACTGCAGCATGCGCAAGTTCAAGGGATGGCTGTGAAAGGCAAGATCTGGACACTTCTGCAGGAATTGGGAGAGCCAGTTAGTGATGGTGCAGCAGGAGACGATCGGGGGCCTGGAGACCAAGTCCTATTAATCTGTAGAAGAGGAGGCTGAGGGGGGCACATGACTGCCCTCTTTAAGTATTTGAAGGACTGTTACTTAGAGGAGGGCAAGGAGAGGAGAGGACTCGCAAAGGGGTCAGGCAACCTTTCATAATCAAAGAGCGAAACGATGTCAAAATTCAGAGTAAGAGACCAACAGAGAGCCAGTAAAGAAAGCCCAGTTACATGATCAAAAATGTACACAACATAACATTGCTGAAAAATGACCAGTTTCCACAGCCTAAACCCTGGCTGTTGCAATTCTTACTAGAAAAAAAGGCATACACACAATCTAACAATAGGTAATAAATACATAAGGAGCATGCTGTGGAGTTGTTTTAGTGTGCTGGCATAGATCTGTGCATGGTTTGCATTTCAATTACTGCATTTCAACTCCATCCCTCCCCTTTCTGCACAGCATCTCACAGAATCCCTCTAGCCCCATAAAAAAAAATCTTTGCCTCCCATTCCCTTCACATACTGGTTATTCTAGTGTCCCAGCGAGCCCTCCAGTGTATCCATGAGATTTGGTTCTCCTTTTTTCAAAAGCCTTTTTTTTTTTTGTTCTGTACTGAGCCAAACTGGGCTCTAGCGGCATGGCCCCGCGATAAACCTCAGTGCCTGCCAACTGTGTTTTACTGTTATTCCTCTAGTAGACACGTATGAACGATTTCCTTTCAATGTCTATTACAAACATTTATTTGAACAATAGTCTATTTTGTGTTGCACACCTACAGCTCCACTAAACATCTTCCTCCTTCACACTGGCCTTGGCAATTTCCTTTCAACTACCACAACACTGTACCCCTTGATGACATTTCCTACAAACACAATCCACGGTTATTTATTTTTATATTTATACCCTGTCTTTCCACAGAAACAGACCTCTCAAGATTGATCAGCCTTGCCACAGCCGCCTACTTTAAATAATTCAGCAGCCTCTGGATTGTATTTCAGGACAGTAAGGCCAAACACCCAACAAAAGAACAGGCCATTGTTTGTTCAAGTGTCCATGGCTGAAATGAGGCCTTGGATAAACCTCACCCTGACTTCCACTACAAATATTGAAGGTGACAACTTGGTATTTGACTGCTAAATGATGCTGAATTTTTAAGTATGATTTGCTGCCAGATGCCTGTTTACTTTGTCAATAGTAATTTCAGGGGAGGTTTAACCCCTGTTTTTAGCTTTTAGGATTTTTATGATACTTTTAGCAATGACATTTCAGGGAAGGGTGGGCTCAAACTATTCTAACTTAAAATAAATAAGCTAGCTTGTTCTGTCCAGAAATACACCAAACGTTCCACGCTTTTTAGCTGCTTCATTTCCCACAAGAGCCACCTCTGCATCCTGAACTTGTGGGCACTCTTGAAGAATTGTGAAGACACATTTTGGCACAGATGCTTCAGCTTTTAGCAAGTGACACATTCACAGGTATGAGTGTTTCTGCTGCAGGCACTGGGGAACTAAAGACTTCCCCCTCTAATGAAAACACTCACATGGACTTGTGAATTCCCCGTGATTCAAACATTAACAATGTCACAGATTCCTTAGTCCTACTGGAGTTTGTAAGAAACATCTGTAGTCTTTAACCTTTGTGTACTGGGACCGTGTGCTACACTGGAAGCCAGAAATAGACAGCTTCAAAAAGAGGCATTGTTTGGCTGGAAAAAGAGGCCACGCTAAGCAGGTTAACGAGGCCTGGATCCAACTGCCTTAACAGCTTCTTAAAATGCCAGTGGCTACGGCGCTTAGATGTACGATACCCCACCTTCAGGGGGATCCCCAGCTGAACACCAGCTATTTCATGGCTGCAGCTGCACTGCAAAGCGAAGGATCCTTGGCTTTCCAGTGCTCATGAAAATCCAAGGTGCTGGGGTGTGTCGCACTTTAGAAGGAGTTTTCAGGACTGCAGAAGCAGGCTTCCCCACATTTTAAAGTAAACTGGATTTATCTACACTCTGCTTGTCAGCCTGTTTTGCTCCAAAGAAGAAGGATCAGGTCCCATCAAGTCAGAACCGACTTGTGGCAGCCACTGCCTTCCTTCATGTAGCAACCCCAGCCTTCCTTGGGGGGTCTCCCATCCCAAAGCGGCTTACTATTAAAATCCAGTGTGAAAACCATGCAAGTAAAGGAAGAGTTTGTTACAGGCTCCAAAGCGAGTTCATGAAGGTCTACGAACAACCACAGTGACAGACGGGACTAGTCTTCATAAGTCATTTTGTAGACCTCCCTCATCTCAATTCCCCCACCCTCATTTGTTTCATGAATTTTATTTCTTCCATTCCTCCCCATCCCCTTGCTACTGCACTGTCATACAATTCAGAAAAAAATGAGTACATGCCACCGGGGGTCAAATTACTGCTAATGATGCTCAACTGTCCTTGCATCCAGTAATTTGAACTACATTAAACTTGTTGAAGTGTCTTCCAGCATGACGCAAAGGGGGGATTTGATTTGAAGCAATCTAAAGCTCTCAATCTAGAGAGACAATTGGTCATTTTCTTTTAAGCAACAGGAGGGGTGAAAGGTCAACCACAGTCAACAAAATCTCCTTATTTTAAGGGCTGGAATGTTGGCGGCTGTCGCACAGTCACAAGGTATAATATAAACCATTTTATTCAGACTTTACATTCCAGCAAGCCAGCAAAGTAAAGTCAGTGCATTAAACTGAAGTATCCAGCAGCAAACAGCACGTTTCAACCTTCTTTGTTTTTGCAGTTCCCATCATTCAGAGAAAACATGAGTATTCTACTTTTCTGAAAGTGGCACAATCAAGCAGACAGTTTCTTACCTGCCAAATGCAGCGAGCGTGAGAGCTTGAGAGACCAGTGCACCAGGTACCCATTTATCACTTTAGAAAGCTGCAATAACATCCAGTTTTACCATTTAGCTTTTTTCTAGTCTGCAGAAACTGCCGGCTTTGCACGGCTCCTGACTCAGAAATCAGTCAAGAGCGGCATCTCAGTTTTGGGGAGAAAGAGAAAAGCAAGAGGTTTTAAAGTTAGGGCTTCCAAAACATGAAACCACACCTACCACCGGCAGCCTGGTCTTGCTCCTCATTCATCTCCAGGTTTCATCCTCATCTGGGCTTGCATTTGGGCAATCATCTCCTGCATCCGGCGCAACTGCACAGAAGAAAAAAAAATTAAATGTTGTAAATGGCCTGTGGAATGCAATAAAGTTCAGGTACCACTTGGTGTGGTTCCCAATGGTCAAAGCATGGTCAACAAAAGTCTGCAGGGTCAAAGCAATGGTATTCCCAGTAGTCATGTATGGCTGCGAGAGTTGGACTATAAGGAAGGCCGAGTGCCGAAGAATAGATTCTTTTGAACTATGGTGCTGGAGAAGACTCTTGAGAGTCCCTTGGACTGCAAGAAGATCAAATCAGTCAATCCTAAAAGAAATCAACCCTGACTGTTCCCTGGAAGGCCAGATAATGAAACTGAAGCTCAAATACTTTGGCCACCAAATGAGAAGGGAGCACTCACTGGAGAAGACCCTGATGCTGGGAAAGATCGAAGGTCAAAGAAGACGGGGACGGCAAAGGATGAGATGGTTAGACAGTGTCATAGATGCAACGAACATGAAGTTGAGCAAACTTCAGAGGACGGCGGAAGACCGGAAGGCTTGGCACGATCTGGTCCATGGGGTCATGAAGAGTCGGACTCGACTGTGCGACTGAACAACAACAAAAAACCACTCGGTGTTCTAGACTGGGGTACTGCTTCTCTTTTATCCCAAAGGAGCCAGTTTGGTATAGTGGTTGAGTACGCGGACTCTAATCTGGGAGAACCGGGTTTGATTCCCCACTCCTCCACTTGCACCTGGCTGGATGGCCTTGGGCAAGCTGTAGTTCTGATAAGCGCTGTCCTTGAAAAAGAGCAGTTTCTCTCAGAGCTCTCTCAGCCCTATCTACCTCACAGGGTGTCTGTTGTGGGGAGGGGAAGGGAAAGGAGTTTGTAAGCCACTCTGAGACACCTTTGGGTAGTGAGGGGCGGGGTATAAATCCAATCTCTTCTTCTTCTTCATATCCATGGAAGAGCAAAGAAATGGTTCCTGATATCCCATTAGGGGTGCCAACCTCCAGGTGGAGAGGCCTGCAGATCTGGGATTACAACTGATCTCCAGAGGTCAGTTCCCCTAGAGAAAATGGCTGCTTTGGAGGGTGGACTCTGTGGCACTATATCCTGCTGAGGCCCCTCCCCTCTCCAAGCCCCGCCCTCCCCAGGCTCCACCCCCAAAGCTCCAGGGATTTCCCAACCCAGAGTTAGCAACCATATGACCCCTCCTGTCTTTTCTCTTCAATAACGAAATGTACTTATTGATCCACAGGCTGAGACAGCTTTAGAAAGGGACTAGGAAAATTCAGGCAGCACATGAATATCAATGGTTATTAGCCATGACAGCTAAAGGAAGCCTCCAGGTTCGGAGGCAGTAACTGGAGTTAGTAAGGGGGAAACCAAGCAAGGCCTTGCTGCTTTTGTGTTCTGCTTTGAGGCCTTCTAGAGGCAACAGGCTGGCTGCTGCAGGAGACAGGACATTGGGCTAGATGGACTGTAGGTCTGAGCCATCCATCAGGACTATTATACAGAATTCCCCGCTGGAAGATGGACTGTAGGTCTGAGCCATCCATCAGGACAGAATTCCCCGCTGGAAGACGTGGCAACAGCCACTAGCTAATGACCATTACTCTGTGAACAAAATATAAAACCTGGAGCTATTAAACTTTTAAGAGCCCTGGTGACTTTTCAGGTCATTAAAGAAAGTCAATAAACTACCTCACCCAGTTAGAAAGCAGGAGGAAAAGATGCCCTCTGCTTAGTTCCACCCTTCCCATTTATATGCAGTAGCTAAACGGGAATGGATGAAGAGATCTAGTCCTTTCCCCAGCCTCTCTCCCAGACCCCGTCACAAGAAAAAGATATAGAGATAATACCCTCTACACCCTTATCATATCGACTGTTGCTGCTTCTGGATAGACTGAGTGGTATTCTTGTTAATCACTCATTCCAGCTAACACGCATGGGAACGGATAGTCAAAAAACCCCAATAGCTTAGCAGTGACACTAAGAGGTATTTCAGGGCGAATGCTTTGCCCTATATTACGTGCAAAGCATTGAAATGCTCCATCTTGTGACATTTACCTTTGCAAACGAGAAATGAAGAGCCTCTCATAAATATTCAGACAGAAATGAACACACACACATGCAAATCCAGCAAAGTGGCATGCTCAGCCATCCAAAACCAACCAGTCAAGCACAGATACAGGAGGGCATGCTTTTTTGCTATCTGAAGATGGCGATGCAGGAAGAGCAGAGAAGTGTCCAGTATTCAAAGTCTACAACCCCTGCTAGAGCCTTACTTCGTAGGGACTGGGCGATTTATAAATCGAAATAATAATAATAATAATGTCCAGGACATAAAGCACCCCAACAGTTGTGAGAGGAAAGAGCTCATCAAAACCAAACCATGCAATGGGCTTCCGGTTTTTGGCAACTTGCAGGCGGGTGCACTCCATCACAGCTCTGATATGAGCAACCCACAAAACGTGCCGATGGGGAGGGGTCCGAGTTGATCTTGGGCCCATTTGACCCCTTGTAGGAGCGTCATAGCCTGGGATGCGTGAGGTGCCTCTCCCAAGGTGGAAGCCAAGGGATTGAGGCTTCTTTTTGCCCCGTTAGGTCCCCGCAGCATGGAGCCAGCAATGGCACCAAGAGGCGCGTACTGGCCAGAGCGCACAAGTGATCCGAAGAAACGATCGTCTCTACATGCTATATGGTAAACAAACGCAAGTAAAAATGTGAGTGAGTCCATGACTCGGCAAACAATCAATTAAACACTAGCAGTAAAGCCGCACCAAAGCCCCAAACAAGCAGAAGGGGGAGGGTAGAGATGTAAAATTTCCGGAAATTTTGAAGCTCAGGAAAAAAACTGTTTTTTTCCATTTTTTTCCGGGCCTTCACATCTCTAGGGGAGGGGAAGCCCAATCCCGAAAAGACTGAGTTAAGCAGGGACTGAAAGGGCGGCTTGAAGAAGCAGAATTTGGCTGAATGTGGTGCTCATTAGCAAGAAAGCGGTAAATTATCAGACTTTCAGAGACTTTAAAACTTTTCTCTTACTGTAAACAATGACGCAGCGAGCAGAAAGAATGGCGGCAAAAGCAAAACTTACAACAGGAACTGCCAGCATATCACCCCCGGCTACCAAACCAGAAATAACCACAAACTTCCCTAAAATGATTGCTGCAGCTTTGCACCCTCTACTGGATCAGATGACCTACCCTAATGACAAGTTTGATACATTGCAAAAGGAGCTCAAATAAACTTCAGCAAAAACAGAGAAGGTAGCCAAGAAGCTGAAAAAAGTTGACATTAAGTCCAAAGAGTTTGGACAAGACTGGAGGTTGTGGAAAAAGAGAAAATCTCTGGGAATCAGCAATTGTTACTTCTTCAAATGGAGAAATCAGCATATCTCCTGAGACTTCAAGACATTCCGGAGCAGAAAGGAGAGAATCTGAAAGAGATTTTAAGACAAGAGCTGGCTCCCATGGTAGACTTAACAGCAGAAACTCTACAAAGCGATATTGATTTACCGTACGTATCCAGAATTTATTTAAAAAAACAAGCTACCCAGGGAAGTATACGAGAAATTTGCAAAAAGGTCCGCAAGGGATATAATTTTGAAAGCGACTAACTAAAATGTCCTGAAAATCAAATGAGAACAAATTAAAGTTTTAAAAGATGTTCCATTTGAAATTAGGAAAAGAAAGAGACAATACGGAGACTTAGCATTGTTTTTGCAAAAAAAAATACCACTCCTTACAGATGGATAATACCTGAAGGCCTTATCTTCAACTTCAGTGGCAAAAAAGAAAAAATTGACTCTGTTCATAAAGCGAAAATGTTCCTGAAGCAACAACAGAAAGCGACAGATGGACCTGAGAAAGTGGAGGACAAAAAAGATGCAGATGAAGAAGAAAATACAGTTGGAGAAAGTTTTGAAACCTCCTCAAGTAGCTCAGCAGAGTATTCGGATACTGAAGCAGAATTAGGGGCTGCTGCCCCTAAAAAGCTAAAAATTAAATTGGACTTTGATAAGAAGCACAGAGGAAAGAAAAAAGTAACATAAACTAACTTGATAGTCTGATGTTCATTGTTAATGCATAAATTTAAAGCTAAGATACACACATTTACAGTCAAATATGTTTGTGATTGCCTGCTTTTTAATTTGATACTTTTATATTATTAACTCTCACGCTTTACTATTTTGATAATAGGGATGTATCAACAATTTTAAATCTCTGTATTAAGGATCCTTTTTACTCTTAATTTTAGGTTGTTCCCATCCCCCGATCCTGTAGATTTGTAGTTTAGAAAAGCAATTAAAAATGCTTAAAAAAACACCAAACCGCGCAAGATATACAAGTGCTTTCCTGACACTTTCTTTTTTCACCTTCAAAGCAGTTTGCAAGGGGCTTATTACACTACTGGGGACAATGCTCCCTCTAAGCTGTGGAATCTTGTGAGCAAAAATTCCACTTTGTGAGCTACTGGCATTAAAGTTGTGAGCAAGCAATTTGGCTACTGCATAAATTAGTTTACTCTGGAGCCATCCTTCCTGAGCCAAGTCAAAAATGGCTATAAAACTGTGAGCTAGCTCACACAAACTCAGCTTAGAGGGAACACTGCTGGGGAGGTTCTCACCCTTCTCATGGGCCATTTCGACAATCACACCCCTGGAGCAGCTATGTGTTCATACTTGAATATACATGTATTATATATGACTATGGATCTCCTGTACCTAGCACATTTTGACCTTCAGGCTCCGCAAGGAACAGCAATGATATTCTGTTTGGTGTAGTGGTTAAGTGCGCGGACTCTAATCTGGGAGAACCGGGTTTGATTCCCCACTCCTCCACTTGCACCTGCTGATGTGACCTTGGGTCAGTCACAAGCTCTGGCACAGCTGTCCTTGAAAAAGAGCAGTTTCTGCAAGAGTTCTCTCAGCCCCACCCACCTCACAGGGTGTCTGTTGTGGGGAGGGGAAGGGAAAGGAGTTTGTAAACCGCTCTGAGACTCCAAGTGAAGGGCGGGGTATAAATCCAATCTCTTCTCTTCTTCTTCTT